TTGGGATTGGTCCTGCTGGAGGGAATACTGATGCATATTCGAGGAAGTCAGTGTAACCGCAAGACTTTGCTCGTGCAGTAATGTTTGCAATGTAAGTATCGTTGAGGTTAAGGACGTTCTGATAGTACAGAGCTGCAGCTGTGACAGGGGCCGAACCCATTGTATCGAAATCGTTAATCGATGGATCATTGATCTGACATCTGGTTAGCCCACAACACGGCCATTGATTCATTTTCATGGCTACACACCTGGATACCCTTCAAATTGTAGTATGTGGTATCGTTGCGGTCCAAGAAGTTACTAGCAATGTATGGAATATATTGCCCAGCATAACTCTCGCCAGTGATATAAACCTTATAGCCTTGCATGCTAAAGGTATCTATGAAATTCTTCCAAAATGCGGCAAATTGGTTTCCAACATCGATCTCATCGTCAACAAGGATATCTCCAGGTGAGTATCCAGTGCTGACGGGTTGATCGATCCAGATCATATTGGTCAAGTTAGTCCATGAATATGGATTTGGAATAGGTGCATATGTGCCAGATTGCCAGCTGAAAGGTCCGTTTTCTTGAAACAGTCCGTCAAGGGATGAACACCCTGGCTGGAGATATATTTAGTAATGTCTTTTAGGGCAGGAGATGAAGATCTTGGGTATATAAACTTACACCGCCATTTAACCATATTGTGATCTCCTTCTCAGCCAAAGGGTTCTCGGATGGGAAAAACCAAAACCACAATCGATTTGTGTCGCTAGCATTGGTGCTAATAGGTAAAGTTCCTGCGTATGATTCACCAAGATCGAAGTCGATCTCAGGTAGTCCGGTTCCATTAACGGCAAAAGCTAGAATTGAAATCAATACACATTCTGGTCATACAACACTCCTCTAGGATAATGTATGGCATGGACTAGAAATTGACTTACAAGCTGTTGAATTTGTCAAATACTTCGAGATCGATCTTGGCCTCACCGCAGGTTGCCTGGGGAGAACCTTCTTTGGCTGTGCTCTTTTTGCATATTTTGCATGGGCTTCGTGATGTGGCAAAATAGCTACCACTGAAGTAACAGAGGCAGCAAGCAAAACTGCTAGGGAATTCAAGCCACGCATCTTGTCGATATGATTGGAAAATGCACAAGAACTTGAGAATCACACAACAGGAGAATTTGATAGATGTGAGGGGAATTCAGACGTATTTATATATTTGTCCAGGCACAGTACCGGTGCCGAGGGCGCCTTGAGCAGTAGTGATAGCTTGTTGATCGACACGAGATTTTTGCTTTGCCATTGGCAATTGTCATTCAGATCATGTATGTCATCATCCATTATACCTTGATAGTACGTTGCTAGCATATTAACCATGCCAATTGCCTTGAACGGTCAGTAGCTACCCATGAAGAGAAAAGGGCGATTGGCCTTCTCATCAGATCAACGTGTCTGCTATATCAATTTACCTAAATAATTATCAATTCTCTCGCGATAGATTTTCACTCCTTCTTAACTAAGTAAGTGTTGATCCGAAGTAGTGAGGGGTGAATCAGGGAGGGACCTGATTTAAGCTCTAAAAGGAAGCTAGAAAAGGGCTCGCGTGCCACTACGCTCAAACCTTACAAGTTCCCGCAGAGATAAGCGAATCTTGGCTCTACAACCAACCACTTGGGCAAGGATATATCGCATGGACCTGGCATACCGGAAGAACTCAGCCAGGCTTTCATCGATGGTCAGAGTATATCTGCTTCCTTGCTTGCTAGTGTCTAAATATTAGTCGTCACAATCGTATATGCCTTCTTGATCACAATCAGCGATATGATGTCTTAAACTAGACGGGAATGCAAAGCGATGAGAATCCTTGCTAGTTGGAACAAAGGATAAAAATCAAGCTTCATGTAGTATTCGTGACTGATCGCTAGGAAGCGATAAAAATGTGAAACCTATCTATATTTTTACATCAAACTCTACATTCTGACAAGCTTACTATATGATGGGTATCAATAGTATGTGTCGGAGACCTTTCAAGACTGCTAGGCTCAGATTTATATTATAAAACTCCTTGCCAGAATCATCTTATGCATAACATCAAAGAAGACGACGAACAGCCTCTATAGCTGCACCAGTCGCCTCGCCTTCGACAGTACTTTCTTCCGGATTAGCTGAATGGCAAGTTAGCTGAAGTAAAATATGGTTCTGTTACCGCGAAGATTTCCACGATCAAACATTTTACTTACGATAAAAGAAAGCGGCCACTGCGATAATGATGTAAACAATCACGCATAGAGCTCCTTCTAGATAATTACTCTTTTGGTCTCGTAAGAAATTTCCTACGACCAAGATAGCTAGGATCAGGACAACGATATCAAACATCTCAAAGTTGAGATCCAACCCCTTATTCATACCCCAGGAAATGATGACAACCAAAGGACCATTAAACAATGCTGTTTGAATCGTTGCGCCTAGAACATGAGACAAAGCAAAGTTCATCTGATTGTCGTAAGCCTCGTCTACCGCAGAAAGATGCTCGGCAGCTTTTTCAACCAGAGGAACAAGGATAAGGCCCATGAATGCATCAGAAATATTATGTTCTTCAACAATTGTTGGTATCTGTTCGACCAAACTGATGGCAATGAGAGTCACTAGAGCAATTGAGACTGCAAGAGCAATAACACACTCAGTGAAGGTAAGCTTGTCTTTTTGCAAATCCCTATGGCGATCCTCGTCCCTTTGTTCATCCGCTTCTAGGATAGCATCGTATATGCCGTGATGAGTTCGCATCTGGAAAAAGACGTAGGTGGCATAAGCAATTATAAGAAGTACGGATGTAATGCGAGATATGTTGAGGACTTTTTCTGCAATGATCGGCTCTGTGAGTTCCGCGGAGGTTTTCAATGACAAGGCCGTTGCGAATGCCGAGGGTATAATGAGGCCAAGTCCACTGTTGTAAAGTCAGCGATACGTAAATTGTCTATAAGAATGTCTCTTACGCCGTCAACAACAGTCCACTTCCAACCTCACTAACAGCTTCGTCGAATTCCTGCTCTAGAATGTGATTCAGCAACAGACACCAAAGGATACGAGGAATTCAGCCTACCATCTCGTGTCAGACCACCAACAAAGAAGCACATCCCTAAACATAGTAGCAAGGTAGCTAGCATTGAGCCTAAAATCGCAGCTTGGATGACCCCATATTCATCTCTGTTTGAGCGATTTAGTGATTGTAAACATAGAATAAGATGGTACTTCCTGACCTTGTTAGAAGGACTATGAAAAGAATCATCTCCACAATACTTCCAAGTGTAGTTTCCAACAATATGCCAAACACCTTTGGTAGTTTCCTCGCCAGCTCCTGTCCGGCGAAGCCAATTAAATTCGCACAGGGCACCATCGCAATGTAATTGAGGATAAAAACCACCAGATGGAGGTCTGGCCTAGCATATCGAACGGCGAGTGCTGCAGGCACAATAGGCCAGAGAATGTTGACAAGTCGAGAAGCATCACTGGTCGAAGTCCAGCATATCTTGAAGAAATGGAAAGGATGTATACCGCGTCTACCACTTTCTCCGTCAGGCTGAATACCCTTTGTGACTTTGTAACCCTTATGATTGACTCTATGTGTTGGTAGCATGTGGTGCAGAGTTTCTGATAAGTTGTGATGTGCGGTCGTCGAGCGTCCATTGCTAGTTTCGACTGAAACCTCCGCAACGTGGCCGTGGCCGCGGCCGTGGACTTGCGGTGGTGAAGCCATTTCGATATCTTCCTTTGGCGCCGTTGAACTACTGGTCGTATGATGTTTGCGTCTATGAGCTGGTCGGGCTGTTCGGGCCATGATGAGAGATTTAGATATGGAAGGTGGACGTAATGACTTAAAAATTGAAGGTCGTCGTTGCCGTCTTTCGTTCTTTGTAACAGGTTGTTGTGATTTTCTTAATTGTTCGTTCGTTCCTGCGAGATTAATTGGGTCCAGACCTCAAAAGACACGACGCGCTATTCACTATTCAAAAAACCGGATTCTGGCGGTGAAATCGAAGTAAAATAAGATTGCAGCGTGAATAATCCCTCAAAAATTAGGAGAGACATTTCAAGGCATTTTTGACACCACAGCTGCCAAGCACCCAGCCGACAAGCTTGGCGACAGCAATTTGAACAAACCGGCTTTTGAGAAAAGATGAGTTATTACTTCTGCTAAGATACAATCAGGCCTTTTAACCGTTGAAACACGGAGCAGCCGAAATAGAGGTGAGTGAGCCAGCAATGATTCTCTCAACCATCGGGCTACTCGTCCAAGCAATTTGCTGTCATTCTCCCATTCCAATTGAAGAAATGGCGATGTGCGCCGAGCTGTACACTGTAACCATGACACCCCAAAGCAGTGACCACGAGTATAGATCCCTAAGAGCTGAGGTGATGAGAATAAATATCTCCAACCATTTACAAACCTTGAAAATGAAGGAATGGAATACAAACAGTATAGCATAGATTGGTCGAGCTCCTGTGTGAAAAGGTGGTGAATGTTCAAAAGGGGAATTAGGTGAGAAAGTGTCGATGGAGGGGATGACATTTATTTATATATTCTTGGGTGAAGTGAAGGGTCCTTTCGCTTGGCTATGCTTAACTATCATGCTTGACATCTTTTTCGGACCTTTCTTTTCTTAATTTCTTGACATTCATCATTCCAAGAGTTTTATTAGTAAATATCCGTCAATAGTCGTGTTAGATTCGAATTGTCCAACAGTCCAAGAAATAATGGTGTCTCCGCCCCTCGAATAATTACCAAATATTATCAATCTGTTTCAACTTAGTGGACCGTTGACTTCCGGTGTATCCGATCTGACTACCTCTGTAGGGCTTAGATAGGTATCCAGAAGGATCTATCGAATTTCCAAGCCTTGACACATGGTATAGATTCGAGCAGATATGAATGACTTGTATTGTATGTATGCTTATTATTGTGGTATGATTGATCAATTCCAATAACTCCTGAATGGTATAAAAACAATGTATTACTCCTGGACTACTATCCTCATCTCAGGATGAACCGTCGAGGAAATTCCCTCCACCCTTGAACGCCAAACCCTCCTAGATATGCCCCTAGATATGCCCACTCCCAAGGTATCATCCCCAATCATCACCAGCATGCCCCTATCATTACTCCTTCTTATGGAGCATATTTCGCCGGGTCATGTTTGGAGATAACATACCAGGCATCTGTGAATTATAAGTATATCGACAAACACAGAGCATGAGACATGGACGTGAACTTACGGATAACACCTGGAATCCAACCAAGGATAGTCAAGCAGATATTGATAAGAAAGTCAACTCCACATGCAGTCTTCAAGAAGACGGCCAAAGGAGGGATGAAGATTGCAACAATGTATGCAAATACGTCCGCCTGTGGAATTCAACATCGTCAGAAAGATTTCGATAAACTCTAACGTGAGATGAGAGAGAGTAAGTGTACTTACAGAAGATGATGCAGCCATTATTATGTCTTTAGTATTGGAATTGAGTCGAATTGAGTCGAATTGATTGATGTTTGAACGGGTATCGGAGATGATGGTTTGATGGATGAATGTACGAAAGTGTTCGATGTAGTTAATTCTCACAATTAAGAGTATTAATATCTATGGAGCAAATGAAAACGGCTTCGTTATATACTTTTTCTCTCTCCCCAACAAAGACAATACTCCAAATCTTGGCAACGCCGGTCGCATGGATGATAGACTAAACTCTATAATTTGGAGTCAAAATGACGTAGATTTGCGATGGCTGAGTGTGGCTAAGGCGATGCTGCTTTTTGTAAAATTACAGGATCATCTCCACGAATATCCCAACAACATCCTTGAACTCGAGAGCATACTATTAGAGCAGCAGCAGTATACGCACAGTCACAGCCACAAATATGGGGAGAGCTTCGGCATTGACTTCCGAACTCTCTACTTTTGGAGAACTCATGATGTTCAAAAACACCAGGATTCTATTCATATCACATCACATCACACCACATCACATCACATAACGTCGTATCATATGAAATCAGGGTTATAGCAATGCCGGAAGACCAAGCCGCGTATACGGATACGAATATGGAAGATCAAGATTCGGTTCTTAACAAGCATACTTCCAACATCAACACTGAAGACTCGACGATTTCATCTACAAACTTAAACTCGCCATCTACTTCCCCGTCGCCACATAGCAAACCCTGTACCATCTGCCACACACCTCGCGATGTACTGATACGATGCCAAATTGATGAAACGAAGAGATGGCATTTCGTATGTACGGGTAAATGTTGGACGGATGTCAGTGGAGGGAAAGTAGATGGCGATGGCAAACATCCAGAGTATAGATATGGAGGGATGTGGAAGAATAAACATGAGGCGGTCAGTGCAAAGATTAAGGGCAAAGCGAAGGACAGAAATAGGAGAAAGGATGCTGGGAAGTCGGAGGGCAATGTGACGAATGGAGAAGAGGAAAACGGAGTTTGAACTTTGGAGGAATAGATGATTTTTGAAAGGAACCATCAATCATATCCGGGAAGATCACTTGGGCGAAGACTCCGCAAGTGCAAGATGTTTGAGACAATCTACAATGGCGAGAAAAATATGATAAATAAGGAAGAACTCGCCGTTCGCGCGATTTGAAGAGTCATCGCAATATGCAGCGAGAAACTCCATAACCAGTAAACGTGTAAACTGATGTCTATCAGGTGGACATTGAATCACGTTACATCGGCCATCATCAACTTAGAGAGAAAATACAACGCTGTACTAAAGAAACGCACACATAAGTTGGTATGAAAGTCCCTGAGATCACCAGCGATCAAATCACCCCAGTCAACTTCGACAATTCTATAAAATGTCACAAAGCTTTTTAGCTTAGAGAGTTCATCGCATAAAACTACACCTACAATACAAGCGAAACGACTCCCAGCTCTCCAACATATATCCTACTACGCGAAAAAACCAACAAGCACCCACACGTCTCGCTGGCGCAGCGGTAGAATTCATCATTCTCGAGAATGTTGTCCGCCTTTCTACTTAGCATTGTCAGGGCTTCGATCGGACAGTGACACGGTCGGATATATGAATTATCGAAAGGATAACATATCCGATTGTGGGTCATTGGGGTTAAAGAGCGTCGCGCTCTTAAGCTTTTGCTTCTTTGGTGGTTGAGAGGAAGCACAGGCATATTTCTGAGAGGCTTCATTGTTATGGAGAATCTTTTGGGGGTATTGGGGTATGTGATATTTTTGGAGGAGGGCGATTGACTTTTAAGTGGAGAACTTTGAAATGGAGTATTGAGTCGAGATGAGAGTTGAGGGAGAGTATGAGGTGAGAGTGAAGTGTGAGCTGGCTAGTAGGCTGGTCGGTACTTGCTGTTAAAGATTCTCAACTTCTATCACTTCTTTGATTCCCAATTATCATGTACCCAAATATCTCACACAAGCTTTCCGTCTGTCTTCCAAAGCCCCAGCCTCTTTTTCTCTTCAAACTGGTCCTTGGCAATCAGTCTATTCAACTTTGAAACTCCACACCAGTGCCATAATCATATATCGGTTCATCACAAGCCAGCGGCTGCCCGACTGAAAAACTAACCAATCTCATGTCTTTGTTTTGATCGCAAGCTTCTGTAGTGATCTTAATCCTAATTTAATGACCAGAGTCCACATCAACATAATTATACAATCCACTGGTTCTTCTCCTCTTGAGCTTTAAATCTTCATCTTCATTCCTATTTTCCCCTACGTCTCGCTCACTAATCTCCTCATCCTTCTGCCTTGCTACTCTAGCCTCACGCTAACCTCTCTCTACTTACACACGCATCATTCTCCTTTACCACCTCCACCACCTCCTCCTCCCCATTCCCATCCCCCTCATGCTTCCCCTCCCTCCCCATCTCCCTTATCTCCCTTTCCCATTCCCTCTCACCCTCACCCTCACCCCCAACTCCCATCTCCTTCCCCACCTCCCCTCCCCCTTTACTCACCTCCCTCACCACCTCCTCCCCCATTTTTTCTTCTCAACCCTCCCCTTGATCTTCTCTAATCTTCGCATACAAGAATCCAAAGGAGGATTTGTCCCAGATGGGGATGTCAACGGCGATGCAAAGTCTTCTTTACGACCTATTCTGCTTGCGACTGGGAAGTTGAAGGTTGATTTTTCTTCATGTTCGTTGGTGTGGTGTATGGTTTATATATTTGTGATGGAAGGTCTGGATGCGTGTGAGAAAGCTGTGCATCGAGGGGAGAATGGGAGACATATGAGCATAATTTTATTTGGAGCTAGAAATACTTAAAATGGGGTATCTGTAGTTGGTACATACAGACTATCGAATTTGAATTGCATATATGCTTCTACTATCTTTGTTATATTTGTTATAGACAGAAACTCACAATCTTTATTTGGGGGTTCAAGTTCTAGACATTGTTTCTCTCGTGTCACAACAGAAAACTGTTTGGTCTTTGCTAGAAAATGCTTCATAAATCGTCGTGAGCCTTCCAAACTTCTATGTTCAAAATGATAAACCTTCCAACAACTAAAAGGTCACTAATCGCTGCTCCATCCCTGACATTCCTCATAATTAGTAGATGGTATAGTTTAACGTCAATTTCGGACTTTAGTAGCAACCCCAAGACTAATAACATCCAGCGCTATGTCAAGTGCATATCTTCAAATTTTCCCATGGTAACTTATCCAACAACTTGGTATCTTCCGCTGAAGCAATGATTAAAAACGCTTTTCTCTTATGCCGTCGATCTTCCTGAGACATCCGTCAACAACCTCGTGTATCCCCCCTGTCACACTTTCTCCTCTACCTCTCTCCCAATCTACCACTCAAACATATCATTTTCCCACGCCTCGACTTCATTTTCTGGATACGGTTCTGGCTCAAGATAGTCCGCATTGTTAATCGGCTTCTCCGCCTGCCTCCTCAGATCGTTCTCATACTCCCATTTTTTCGACGCAAAACTCCCTGGAGGACATCCCGGACAATCGCAAAAGAATCCGTAGTTTTGATACAAATGAGTGGGTACATTCGCATAAGAGATTGTGATTTCTTGACCTTTTGTTATATCACTGAGGGTTGTGAATACCATCTTGTTGATATCTTTACGAAATCCATAAGTGCAATTGCAGAAACCAGAACAGGCGTGATTAAAACGAGAAGAATTCAGGAAAATCCCAGATTTGCCGCCGGGTACATGGAAACTATGGGCATGTCAAGTCAGTGATGCAATCATCTCACGCGTGTTGAGCTGGATTATGTATAGCTTTGGTAGTTGAGGCGGACACACATACCGATTAGTCTGAAAAATTGCAAGAACCTTGTGAGCAGCAAGACCCTGCCAATAATGCAATTTCAGATAAGCAGCTTGTTTTTCCGCTGTCAATTGTTCAAAATTATAGTATATTTGCACCATTGAAGATAAGAACAGAGGTTCCTCGGAATGAATCATAGTTCCAGACTTAATATCCACTTTGGTAAAACAACCTAGACCGCCCTTTGGGGAAGTTTTGACTTCGTAGAACTCGTTCTCAAATATTGGCGCTTTCTCTGGAGGAGGAGAAGGAGGGAGAAGTATAGATGGCGACAATTTGGAATAAGCAGGCAGATCGGCTGCCTTTGATGAGGTAGACTTTGGTTCAACTGCTAATTTTGAATTGGGCAGTGTGACTACCATTGGCGGCGTCAGGTACAGTGGGGCCAACAACGATGATTCAGAGACAGTAAAAACCAGGGAAGGTGTGATCGAGCTTTCTCGGGTTGACACTGGAGAGCCCAAGGCAGATGGGGACATTGGCTTCAAGGGAGAATCTGGCGGTGTTAAGAGTCCCAACAGTTCTCCCTTGCTCCCATCGAACCTTTTTTCTTTGGCTGGGGATTCACATCTGTAACTCTGCAAGAAAAGCGCTGGTTAATGGAGAATATGAAACAAGTCGAGCTACAAGTTTCTTACCTTTCCAGTTTTCCACGTCATAGCTTTTCTGAACCATTCTTCAAAATGGCTGGCCTCTGCCAGTGGGAGTGTGTGAGCGGCGGTGATATCCATCGATGAGCAAAGTTGGATGGGTTGGATATGTGTGTTTCCGTCCGTGAAGATGAGTGGTTGATTAGCTTTCCAATTTGGAGGGGGGAGAGGATGGACAGTATAGTGTTTTCTGAAAACAAATATTGATTGATATGATAGCTAATTGGATGTTCGATTCAAAGTGGAGAAATAAGGGAGGAGAAAGGGTGAATATTCGCAGATTCAATTTTGATGTAATTTCGGGTCAGTGAGGATTTATGTGCCAACTCAATAATGAAGTTAAGGGCGGTTTATAAATTCAAGCCAAAGATTCTTTCTGTGGTTGCGTTGAGAATAAAATATCCGGAAGTTACTCTTGCTGCTGCATTCACCAGATGCTGCTCATAAAGTTGAGCCGTGGAGGAGAAGAGCTTATATCCACGTCTGGAGACAGCAGTAATTTCTCGTTGCTGAAAATTCTAGATTCAAGAGTGTATCTGCCCTAGTTTGGGAGGGAACACTTTCTCTCTTTATTAAGGAAAGTATAGCTGTAAAATCATGTTCCGACAAAGATAGTCCTTAACATGTTTGACAACAAACACACTCAAGAAAAGGTAAAAGCAAAAACTGCAACAAATAACAAGTATCATTGGGAATTGCATGGAAAGCACCTTTGAAATTGATAAAGACCTAAAGCCGAAGCTGACGCAAAGAAATTACGAGAGTCTCCCATGCTGGAAATACGGGAAGTTTGCCGTTTGTTGTTGCAGGAAAAGAAACTTCTCTACCAGAAGCCGAACTTTATGTAGGTTGTTGAAACGCTAGTGAACGGGCAAGTGCATAGCCGATTGATTCATTTGCCTCAAAATCACTCACTTCTGAAATTGCATTCTCCAATATATCAAGTACTGAGATGGCTGAGCGATGAATGAGTGTTTGCAAGCAGGCAACGCATCCAGAAGTTATATTCTCACGTGTGCCGGTTGTACTTGTCATACAGAATGAGAACTCGAATGTCGAGGTTTAAAGGAACACATTTTCAATAGACAACGATAGAACATTTCTTGATTGGACCAGAGCCCTGAAATAGAAGATCACGGATACATACGAGTAAAGGTTGAAGCAATAATAATTGGTCATTTAGATCTCAATTCACTCCGATAACTCCATAGAGCTACCTCTCTCTGCCATTGCAAGTGCATCACAAATGTGAATGACTTAACCAATATTATCTAGGCAACTACATTCACCAATTTTGCCATCTTTCGGCAGTTCCACTTTGAACGGCGGGTCGCTGATGTTGTCAGCAAGAGTCATTGTTAAAATACGCATTACTAACCTCAGCAATTCTATCAATCCACTTCAATACATGCGGGAATGCATTCATATCTTCCTTTGAGAATGCACCAGAAAAATCCCATCCGCTTACCCATGCTGAAATTCATTGTCAACTAAGGCCTCATAAAGATCATCGAGACAACTTACGCCAAGTTCCAATATCTGCAACGGAATATTTTCCTTTCCCGTTGCCAGCCAAGTAATCACGAGGCTCACCAGTATATTTGCCTGACAAGCGAATCTCGAGCACCCCAAAAACGCGCAGGGTCTCGTTCTTGAATCTCTCTAGAGCTTCTATGTATCCATTGGTGTTAGTTGAATGATGTGCATAAAGTTGAGAAATAGCTACTCACGTGGATTCTTCGCGCTTGCAATCTTGGAAAAGTAGACCGTTTGGCCTTGGTACTACAAATTGAAGACGTCAGTAATGCTAAAACATCATGATTTCAGATGGAATTTCCAGAGAATGTGAAGAGTTTAGGAGCTCTCCATAAAATAGTAATGGTATAGATGATGTCTCTATGCTCAGACTTACCGGGGCACCCTATCAAACTGTTAGCCGGGCAATATTTTCAGGGCAACGAAGAACTTACACTACCATGCCAGAAGAACAGCCATTGAAGGCACTCATTTCTCTCCAACTCGTCCTTGAATCCAAAAATATCCTTGCTATCGAACTCTTTCAAGAGATAAAGCAATTCTGCACTGGTTTCCATGACAGGAAATGGTGGAGTCTTGGTGTTATCAATCAAAATGGGGATTCGACCTGCAAGATACTAAGCATCGAACTCCCACACAACTTTCTACGATAACATACCATTCGGATTCAACTTTAAGAACCAGTCTTTCTTTTGCTCATTAGTTGAGATATGAATAAGAGAGTGAGTGTCTGGCTGGTCAGTAAGACTCGATATACTTCATTACAGATGGCACTCATTACATTCGGTTCCATATGCCGCCTTCAACTCCTCGAGCATAATCTGAACTTTTTTGCCATTGGGCGTTGACATTGTTACAAGATGCAGTCCCTGCACCATCTCAGTCAGCTGTATAGTTTGGCAGGCAAGCCGATAGTAACCAACCTTCGCATTTTTGACTTCATCTGGGGTACCTTCAAGATAGAAATTGGAAGACATTTTGGAATCGTCTTTGATAATACTCTGAATAATTGAAATGGACTCGAGATCTTTGAGATTTGAAATTGGAGTGCGGACTTGGATGGAGAACAAAGAGGTGAAGTGAAGTGAAGAATACATACAGCACATGAGTAGTGGGGGATGCGCCCTATGCGGGGATATCTCACCAACGTCATTGACTTTTAGCCAACCAGTAGAACGACAAGTGTTTACTTGATCATCCATGGATAGTTGCACAAATGGCCCAAATGCCCGATTCTGACAAATGCGATGGTTTACCCACCTACCCAGGCATAGACAAAAAGGACTTGGTTTGACAGTCAGATGAACATGCATGACCTGGGGAGGGAGATGAGCCGGCGAGGCGGAACAATAGGGAGCATTTGGCTCGCATGGCATGGCCCAAAATATCAAAATGTAATTCATATTTCAATGTACCATTTCTTGTACGCGTGTGGATATGAGGAAGCTCCCGGATTCATACAATATTCCTCATATACTCATCCGAACTACCTACCTAGTAGTATCGACATCGATGAAATATTTACGTCGCCAACCAATGACTGGTCGGTTATATCTTGTATTTCTCAAGATCGTCACATTGACAAACGTATCACATCCAGAAATCAACAGTCGAGAAGTCGATACAAATTCCGGAGGGAGCTAATTTGTCTTTAAACCAGGTGTGAACTTTCTTCAAAGGTCTGAAAAGAGTTGTAAAAAACGGTGAGCTCAAGATAAGGTTATCCATGGATCTCCTACAAACCCCCACTTTCTGGCATCCTTGGTTAGCCGTTGCTATGGACATAGATGGATCAGATAGCAATAAAATGAGGCTCCGAAATACGTTTCCAATTCCAGGTTGTGATGGAGGATTGATCAAGCGGTTGGTGTGGCTCATCAATAGTATCATAAAACTTCCTCTTCGGCACTATCAGACTTTTTTCACCCATTTCCTTGGCTGCACAATCAACTAAACAAGACCATTCGCATTCTTACACAACAACATAGAATCACACAGATGAATCAGCCAATTGACCCATTCCAATACAAGGAATTGAATCATGGCCTAGATGAGATCCGGTTACTACGAATTCTTCCCCCAATTTCGAAGGATGATGTTGTTTGTTGTCGGCTTATTCACACAGCTTTGCACAGAGCTCCTAATTATCGAGCACTTTCGTATACTTGGGGGGCCAAAATTTCCTCAGAGTCAATAATTGTCAACGGAAAACGCGTTTCCGCATCCAAAAATCTCATTGGAGCTTTGAGGAGATTACGGTCTCAAAGAGAAAATGACGAAAGCTTTCTGTGGGTTGACGCCATCTGTATTGACCAAAACAATATACCAGAGCGAAATAATCAAATAGCTAAGATGAGAACCATTTTTCAAAACGCACAGTCTGTACCTGTTTGGATTGGTTCCGAGAAGGACAATAGTTCTTTGGCAATCCGACTGGCCAAAAAAATGAACAAGGCTACAAGGAATCAAGTGATAAAAATGCTCCATGACCCGTCAACACAGGATCAATTGATGGCTTTAGTAACTCTTTTTCGTCGTCAATATTGGTGGAGAATATGGGTCATCCAAGAAGTTGCCTGTGCCAAAGAAGCAATTGTCCTTTGCGGGGACGAGAGTATACCTATACTGGAGCTTTGTAACACCTGCGATATACTGAAAAGAGAAGAACACTTACTGTTGTCTATCTACTTGAAATCACCATCATTTGTACGAACCCTCACCACTGGAGGACCAAAGAGCTTGCAAGTATCAAGAGATCAGGTCCCTGATGCGGTCAGCTCTCCTCTCTTTGAGCTTTTGCTTTTCCACAAGAGTAAGAAGTCGTCAGATCCAAAAGATAAAGTGTACGCATTAGTAGGAATATCAAACTCACGGGAGTCCTTTGGTAACATTGATTATTCATTGTCGATGCGACGGGTATATACGCACACTGCGAGGCATATAATTCAGGATTCTCGAAGACTGGATATTATATGTGTCAATCAAAGAAACCAAACAGCGCCCGATAATGATGGTCTTCCATCATGGGTACCGAACTGGACAAGGCCTCCCCAAAGCCGCCAGCCTACAATAATTGGACTCCAACATAGCAAACCTCAGTTTATGGCTTCTGGTGACAGTTATGCTAATGTACAATTTCTTAAAGATGGATATGTTTTGAGAACCACTGGTGTCATTTTGGGGAGAGTTCAAAAGACTGGCTTATCCTTCAGAAGAGAATTAAACTCTAGAGACAACAATGGTAGGGGTCTGAAAGTTCTACAAGAATGGTGGAGTATCATATCTAAGAGAAGACCCTCCCTACAAGAGCAAGGAGCATTCTGCAGAACGATCTCTTGTGGCAATTGGACTTTCAAAGATCACATCGAATATGCCATTCGAATGAAAGCCCTTGCGACAATATTGTCGGAACAAATGCCCCGGCTTAGTTTTCCATTATCTCCTGTCTCAACGACTGATAAAAGTTTCGATGAGGAGGAACGATTAGCACTTCTTATCTCCGCTTGTTGGACAATGAACAGACGCCGCTTCATCGTTTCCGGCGCAGGAATCATTGGACTTGGACCATGGAACTGCTCCAAAAATGATTTGATCTGCATTGTTCCAGGTTGTAGATTTCCTGTCATATTGAGAAAGACTGATAATCACTTCATTCTTGTGGGAGAGGCATATATTGATGGCTTCATGTATGGAGAAGGGATTCGAGGAGTGAATAACGGGCTATACGACCTGGAAACATTCGAAATTCATTAATGGGAATTGGGTATTCCAAATCACTGTCAATGAGTCATGTGAACATCAATGAAAAGTCAATGGCAGGAGGTCGAATATCTTACGAAACACTCAAACCCGCCATTCTGAAGGGATGAATGCCCGACCGCCAAACATACGATGAACTACCCATCATATGAAATTCCTTGTGTCAAACACGCACTCTATTCCCCCCATAGCACATAGATGATATTCAAGCATCTGAGCCGTGAACTCGATATATTGTGGTGGCTGGGTAACATTCGAAGTTTGAGGTCATCAATGCCGTTCAACCCTTACTACTGAACTCTATTTCTCCCCTCTTACGATTTCATCTCTATCTCACGATCTCCTATCACCATGCCCTTCTTTCAGATGTTCCAGAAGGACTCCGCACTGACGTAGTGCATTCGGTGAAAAGATTAGACGACGTTGAAAAGTGCTTCATGCGCTGAAAATTAAGCCCTATATTCGCGGCTCATATTATTGACATGAATGCATTTACCGTGGCTACCCCTGAAATAAGGCTGTGTCTTTTCCCTTCACGCGAGGAATGTGCTGGCAGTTGGGCTCGCTTGAGGGGTTTCACTCCCTAAAAATTATGGGATGATTTGCTGGTTCTATGGGCATGAATGAAATTGCGAGCATGTTCCTTGCAAAGAGAGATTTATTAATCGTAGTAACTTCACGATGACTTCAGAATATGGGGTTGAGGGAGATCACAACAATCAATAAATAATGGCCCGGCAATGCTTTGAAAAAAAATTTAATCAAGAAAAATCTATTTTTTATTGGTACCGCGCGTTTTTCAAGAATCAAGAAGTATAGATATAAGTCATCTGCTCTTGCCTTTTCCGAAGCACTACATATAAATCGACCCAACATCAATCTTCCATCTACCTTATCCAACTTACAGTTTACAACTTCAACCTTACCAAATATTCACGAAAACAAATACAATACCATCATAAATTACCATCAACTCAATTTATCAAATCTCCTCACACAACTTCCATCCAATCCACAAACAACCATTCTCTTACTCCCACCATCAATCTCGACATCGACTTCGAGTATCAACCATACTCTACAACAAAACACACATAATTCCACTACTCAAAGTACAAAAAGTAGCCCTTAAAATACAAATCCTACATCATTTAAAATGTTCTCCAACCTCGCCTACCTCCTCAGCTCTAAATCCATCACCCTCTACATCCTCTACACCCTTCACGTCATGCTAGGCACCTCTCTCGTTTTCACCGCTCTCTATACCTATGGTGTCCAGACGAGCAAAGCCATGGCGAGGGCTGCTGCACTTGAAGCTTCCGTCAACAGCGGAAATGGAATGACTGGGTTTCCTGTAGGCAAGGCGTTGAATGGAAGTGCTGTTGAATTTGAAGAGGACATGGAGATTGAGATGGACGGGATGGATATCGCGATGGGTGGGTTGAATAGAATTAAGGGAATGAGGAAGGTGAAGAGTATGATTGGATTGAGCAGTGCGAAAGCGGGACGGGAGAATGCAAGCACGGGGTTTGAGTGTGTTGGTGGGAATGCGGAGGGAGGAATTAAATTTAGAGAGATTTGCTATTCTTCTGGGGGGAAGGAGGGGGTTGCGATGGATGGGCTTGGTGTGACGGGGAAGGGAATGGCTCTTGAGATTTCTTGAGGGAGAGTTAAGTGTTGAGGGTGTGGAAGGGCGGAGGAGGGGCTGGAGAATTATGGTTTTTGTGCTTGTCTTTGGGGAGAGATGCGAGCTAGAGAAGCGGGTATGAGGGCAATGATTGATGAATGAATAATGATGGAAGGGTTTGATTTAATAGGAGAAAATCGACGAGGAAGATGAAGGAACGAGAGACGATAATGACAATGAGGAGTGGAGGGATTGCGATGTTTGTTTGCTTATGACTACGATTATGCTTTAGATATATGTTTATACCCAATGGAGAATACAAAGATTAGGAAAGAATTTGAATATTGATACAGTTTGATGGTGTATTTTCCGCTTGTACTGTTGAATGTTTGGCTCTGCGTGAGTGAATGAACGATGTTGAGATGGTTTTATTAGCTATGAGTTATTCATAGCGTTTTTGTTGACCAGTTCAGAGTGTGTCCCGACAATTTAATGTAAAGCTTTCAAATACCTGAATCGAGTAGGTGATACGGTCACTTTGGCATGATAGTTGCAAGTTGAATGTTCTACTGCTTTCAAACTCTCTACTTGCTTCAAAAAGTTTACATCTTTGCATTTACTATGAATATTGCATTGCGTCCAAACATTGAGGGTTTACAATCAGTCTGCTAGTCCGGATTATTGGAAACCATGTTTAGTGGTCTGGACTGCAGTCTAATTAGTAGCTCACCTCACCATGAAATGAAAGATGCTTTCTGAAACAGTGTAAAGGTGCACTGAGTAAGAACAACGTTTTTATTCATTACGGTATTATGTTAGTTTGAAACGTTTCTCGAATCATCCATCATATCTATTCGTTATTCATCATTTTAAATGTTCCCTAATATATCCTCCCAGCTTCTGCAAGCCTTCTTTCAAGACCTCCGTCTCGCACACAAATCCTATTCTCACATAACCTTTAAATTCCTCACCAAAACATTTAGAACCCGGTAAGAACATAACCTTGGTCTTCTCAATAACATCCATACAGAATTGTACATCATCCACCGGCTCCCTTCTGTTTTCCACTCTGATAAAGGCTGTAGTGCCACCATTTGGCTTAACCCAAGACAAATTCTCGCTATGTTCATTGACAAAAGCATCTACAAGTGCCACGTTGGTTTTGGCAAGCTTGATATTCCTACCAAGGAGCGCATGGATGACGGATTGATTCATGGCATAGGAGGCGACTTGATCGTCAAGCTGTGAGACAGAAATAGTGGTGTAGTCTCGAGCTTCCGCGAGAGCTTCGATGATAGCTTTGTCCTTGCATGCGACCCAACCGATACGAATACCAGCCAGCGAGTAAGCTTTTGACATGGAGCCAGTGACTATGATTTTCTCGTAAGGCATGGATACCATCGATGGAGGGAATTCTGCATCAGCGACTGATATTCCGTGAAACAATGGTCGATAAACTTCGTCGCTCAGAATAATGATACCCTTTTCCTTCGCAAACTCCGTCAAGCCTTGTAGAACGGACTTTGGAATCGTAGCGCCTGTAGGGTTGTTTGGATTATTGATAATGATCATTTTGGTATTATCCTTGACTAATGGCTTCAGCTCCTCTAAATCAGGAATGAATTTCTTCCCCTTGTGTAACTTCCATAGCGAGACTTCCGCACCGAGACTTTGTGGAACCGAGTATAGTTGTTGATAAGTTGGATGTACACACACTACATGATCTCCAGGGCCAATCAACGTATATAGTGTGAGGAAATTCGCTTCAATGGCACCGCGCGTGAGAAGTATACTCTCTCGCGATAGAGCCGATGCGGTTCTAGCGGAATAGAGAGACGCTAGGCGTTCTCGAAGAGCGGGCGATCCACGGATGTGTCCATATGTGAGTTTGGTCGAGGTTGATATCGGATGAGGCAGATTTGGATCTTCGGATAACTTTACGAGATCGTCAATGGAGATGGAAGCTGCACATGTTTCGGCAATATTGAGAACCCCAGGTGTGGTCTCATATTTGTCCATCCACTGGAAGTAGAACGTTAGAGACATTTCAGTTTTGGTGGAGAATGGAGGGGTAGTACTTGTTCTACGGCGAAAGGCTCAATCTTGACCATGTTTGAGATGGTATGGTTTATATGGGTTGAAGAGTATTGTCTAGAAGAGAGGACTAAGAGATGTTGGTATTTGGATTGGACATCTTCGCTTCATATATGTCTAACAAACCTACGTTTTCAATATTGCAGCAGTAATAAGTTGTCATATGGCGGATATTTGCAAGGCGTGGATGACATTGCATTGTGGAGATTGCTAAACCTCGGTCATCCCCAGGAAAGAGTGAGGAATCAGAACCAATAGGATGTTGGGAACCGTGTGAAGCTTAGACACAACGTTTGCCCTTACATGCTCTACGTACAGTGCTGATGGAGTACATCCATTGTACATTGATAAGATAGAGAAACTTTGGGGAGATTGAAGGAGCTTTTGACTTGAAAGATGGTCGGATGGATTTTCATGAAGCTCTCCATGTCCCTCCACCCCTTTGAGATATGAACGGTATATAGACAAACATACATACCTAGCACATACCGAGATCTATGTAATCGCAATTTCTAATCCATTCTCAAACCTTCCAGCTTATCTTTCTATCTTTTGGTTCCTGACAGCTGCTCTGCCTTGCTCCAGCTTTTATCAATCCCCGCTTATTCTTGTTAGGACAGGAGACGGACAAGCTAAAAACTCCCTCCGATGACCTTGAATGATATGACACTACCTCTAAGGTTACCTCCTACCTAAGCTGTTCTGTTCAACTCTTCTTCACTACTTGATAACAAGCTTCAATTTTGTTTATTAATTTTGTTATTCTCTCATTCAAAATCTTATCGAGTTACCAGACAGGCATTTCTCTTTAATTCCTCTCATTGAAATTCACTACTATTTATTCGTTCCAAGTATTATTCGGATCCCTCTACTCTACTTTACATGGCATCAAGAGTCGTCGCTTCACCGCAGCATTAAGCTGGTTCCATTAGCAAGCTCCCACTTTCAACAATCGCGATTTTCGCAAATCTTCACGAACGATGAAACGACTTCAACTAGGGACTGTAGTCCTCGCCACTCTGTCTCTATCATGGAACGCGCACGCTTTCACGAATTATTCGTCGATAGACTCGATGAAAGCCCAATTAGCTCTTATGGACGACCGACCTGACGATTGTCCTCCTTGGTATTGCGCCTCCTCTTCTAGGCCAAAATATCTTGCTGACTGAATATAGTTTTAATTGTTTACTACCCGCATTTAATTGCGGCCAATATTCTGAATGCAATCAATACAATGGCAAATGCTCCTGTCCACCAGGATTCGGTGGCGATG